TTTTTTTTGATATATTATTTGGGATTAAAATTGGGCTAGAAAGGCTATAAGAGATTGATTTATTCTTGGTATCCTGCGGGGTAATTTAATGCCAAAATTGATACCAAATATTGGATAGCGAGAAGAGCTTAAATTTGGGCTAGAGCTTTAAATTCAATAGAGGATTCGTATAGCTAGAAGGCTTTGAAAATAAGATTGGGAGGTTTCTGAATACTTTTTCTGATTTCTGACCCTAGAACCCCCCTTTTTGTACTACTTAGGTTTTCCAGCTAAAAGAGTTTCTAAATTTTTGTTTAATTCTTCTCCTTGAAAAATTTCATGTAAAATAGAGTTGCAGAACTGAAAAAAGGAGAGGGCTGTAAGCATAATAATAGTTAAGAGAAAGAACTAATGCTTTTTGCTGATTTGCTCTAAGTATTCTTTTAGTTGTTTAGTAAGAGTAGTTTTTCCTGTCGCTACTCCGTCAGTGATTAAGACTAAAAAAGATTTTTCTTTTTTTATTAAGTATTAATTTTCTATTTTTTTTGCTGGTAGACTGAGAAGTTTATTTGATAGATTTAGTTTTTAAAAGGTTTTGTTTTTCTTGGAAATAACTCACTTCTTCAATAGAAATTTTTTTGTCTATAGTTATTTAGGAAGGATTTTTTGATGAGATTAAAGTTCTTCTTGAATTTGTAAATTACTTAATCCTTGCTCTATTTGCCTAGTAATAACTGAACAAATTATTATTTTTTCTTTTTTTGCTACCAATGAAATTTCTGAAGATATTTCTTGATGGAATTTTACTAAACCTACTCTCTGATATCAAGGTATAAGCAAAATGGTTCCCTTTCTTACTTTTACTAGCATTTTCTCAGTTCCTAGCAGTTTTAATTTTTGTTATAATTTATTAATTTATTATTATAAATTTACAGAAATATTTACCAGAATTATTAGATACATATATGTGATTTAATTCGAAGATCATCTAATATAAAGTAATTATTATATACAAACCTTATTTATATATAAAATCTCGATAAATTAGAAAAAAAAATACTAAAATATATATTTTTCATAATGCAAATAATTGTATATAATTAAAAATTTTAAAAAAAATTTTATAAATAACAATTTCTTTACTATAATTTTTTTTTTAGATTCTTTTTTTTTATCCCCTTTTTTTTTTGAATAAAATTCTGTAAGTTTTAGATCTTATCCGAGTATAGATTAACACAATAATGATGTTTTAAGAACCAAGATATGTAGATTGTAAAATCCAATTTCTGGGCGCTTACGCCGTAGGACAGAAACGTTATTCACAATTTTATAAATGGAAAAATAAAGACGAATACTTTTTGTCCTACGGATATTTCCTTGATTCTTGAAGCTAGGACATTGTCTTTCGAATTCCTGTTATTTATTCGTTAGTTTAATTATTTAATGACCAGTGGCAATTATAAAAAAAAAACCATTATTAAAACATAAAGTTTGATAAAAAATTAAATAAAAAATTTTTTTTCAATATGCATTTAAAAATAGAAAAGAAGCTTGAAGAATTTGAGCAGCAATGACGATCAAAATATGGGCGCTTCGGCAACAGAAAGGCATGATTTTTGAATAAAATATGTCCAGATTTAGCATTAACTCAAAAAAAAATTTTTTTTTCTCCTTTACAACGAAACGCCCATATGTAAAGCGTTGATTTTGTTTATATTTAAATGTTAGAATTATGTTATAATATTTGTGTTGTAGTTGGGAGATAATACACTTTTGGAAGGTTATAAAAAATCTATCGTTTATATCATTATAGACTGCGGATGCTAGTATACTATATATAAAATATATAAATCGATCTCCAATTAAAATATGATATTTGTTTTGTTCATTGTTTGATTTCAAATAAACCATTAAACCGAAGTGAAACATTTGTGTTTTCTTATGACTTAGTGTTTCACACTTTGTTTTCTAGATTCATATCAAAGAAAGAAAAAAAAATCACAAAAATAGAAAACACTTATCGTGTGTCATTTGATGAACACAAAAAATGGGTTAAATAGCTTTATTTATGACACCATGATTCAAGTGACCACTGGCTCTTTATGGGAAATCTGAAAAAAATTTCAAACAACGAACCTAAAAAGAACCAATAAGAATTAATAAATTCGTAATTGGGAACTTCATTAAAAAATATAAATCATTATTTGGAATAAACAAAGACCATCATTAGTAATTTACACAATTTACACTACAGATCAACTCATTTCCCAAATTGGTCGAACAGCTTTGTTAATGAAAACTTTTCTTGTTACGCAAAAATCTGTCATTTTCAAGTACAAATACCCCACTAAATTTCTACTCTTCCTATTCTTCATCCAACAAAAGAAAATAAAACTTTTAAACAATTAGAAAATAACAATATCGATTACATTCATATTATTCACACTTACAAACAAACAAAAAAATTAACATCTTTAATACCTAAATTTATCTCACTAAAAAAAATGACTTCCTCAAACAAAGCTCTTGTCTACGATGCTCTTAAAACCTTAAATACTCCTACTCAAGATTCAAAAACCGATTTTGTCAATAATAATGAGGAACTTTACATTCCAGATTTCGCTGCCTACTTTGGTGAAGGATTTCATGATGTTATTGACCAATTTAAAGAAGACCATCAGAAGGAATCTGAAATGAAATTGAAAGTTGAACAGAACGAAAATTCTTCAGACGAAGAAAATGGTGGTACATTGAAAAAAGTCAAGAAACTCTTTGGATTTTAATTTAGATTCTGTATAAAGTTTTTATTTTTATTTTTTTTGCATTTATATATATTGTTTCATTTTTGCATTTTTCCAACACGCATTTTTTATTTTAAAAAAAATTATTTTTTTTTGCATTTGTAATTTTTTTTTACTTGTATGTATCGATATCTAAAACATAAAATAGACTTATAAAAATTTCTAAATTATTCATATTTTTGTTATAATTATGATAAAACTAAATAATAAATAAATAAAATATTTTAACCGTATATAAATTTCTGTAATACATGGTGCATAATGAACATGTCTGCAAATTTTCAAGGATAATATTCGTCTCGTTAATTATGTAGTTTTTGCTTAATCAATTATTCCGATTTGGATATTCTTAATAATTCTTGAATTCTAAACCGATTTTTTTTATTTAGTTGCATAGAATTTGTTCTGTTTGTTACCTACCATACATATTTCTTTTTGATAATACTTTGATGAGTAAACTGGTTCGTGGAGTAATTTTCCTCCCGTAGATGTCATGATAATCTTGTCATATTGTGTGTTCTTGAAAAACTTGATTTTTCTTAAAAAGTATACGTATAGTTGATGTTTTTTAAACCCATTCAAGTTCAAATCATAGAATGAAAACAATTTTCCTAATTGGTAATCATTTTGAATGTGTATGATTATCCATTTATCATCTTAATAATACCATTTAAATCAATCAATTCTTGACTTTTGTAATATTCACTTGTAACGTTATTCTAGATTATCAATTTAAATAATTAAATGGGGGTAATTTCGATAGCAAGTCTTATCTTGGATATCTTTTACATACAACGTGAAATCCCGATAATCCATAAAAATCCACGCGGCACTTCTTTTTTTTTTTTCGGAGCACATAGTCGCGACTGTCTCCGCACATTAATTTAAATTTATTGGGACGAACCAATCTAATTCTCAGATTATTTTAAATATTTATAATATATTTTTTAACTAATTGCTTTACAAATAGTATCCAAAATAGTAGTTAATATATTAATATTAATTATCATATTCTTATTTTAAAAATATATTCATTTCGTTATCTTTTCTTTAATATCATATTTTCTTTGATATTAACCGTTTCAAATATGAAAAATTGAATCTAGTATACAAATTTTCCAAAAAAAATGAAAATTCTTTATAAGATTTTAAGTATTTTCTTTTTAATAGTTTCAATTTAATCAATCATTAAAAAAAAATTTTTTATTAGTTAATATATCTTTCCTTTTAATTTTCAAATGCTTTCTTAATATCAATTACCTATATTTTTATAAATTTGCTATTAAAAAAAAATTTTTTTTTTTTATAAATGAATATCCTACTAAATTTATTTATTTTACTTTATTTGATTTTTAAAAAAAATAATATATAGGTATTTTTATATAGTTTATAAAATATATATACCATATATACATTTAAAAAATAATCATATTATTTGAAATCATACTATATAGGTTTATATAAA